AGGATGAGTGAAATAGCCCAAGTGAAAAATTAGCACAAGTGCACTCAGCAAATATTTGGTGGCGTTACTATACTGTTCATACATTTTCATGTTTTTTAAACCCATTCCCAAGAATGTTTTCTTCTTCCTTCTTGATAACTTTTTCCCTATTGATAACCTAGCAAATTCCTATTCTGATGTCAGGGTCCAGCTCCACTGCTCTTTTGTCATTTAGAATTAAACCTTTCTATTTCTGCAGCACCTCTAAACCTTGTAGATATTTTGATTGCTCTGTCCTAGGGATATATATCTGTCTCCCTACACAACTGAAAATTTTAACCCATTTCCTATTTAGGAAAAAAAAGTGCTGCCAGCGTTAATTTAATTTTACATAAACACGCTGAGGCTGAAGCAAATCTGACTGGTTTTCAATGTAAAAACGAAATATAAAAACTGTTCTTAGAGTTATTTCTAAATAGAACTTGTCTCTAATCCTAATGTAACAGAAATGTATATGATGATCAATATTTAATAATATTTTTGCATGTAGTAAATTTTAAAGCACGGAACAACGCAAAGCGGAACATCACATTCTGTACAAAAATATTGCGTTTCTCTCCGGATCTTCTTGCCATCCTTGTCGTTGTGCGAGCAGCAAACTTTGCAGCAACCAGTTGGATTCTGTTTCCCTGATGTTGGTGGTATGCTCTTGGGAGTATGTCTTCCAGACAGGGCGCGGAGGACCTTGAAGATGTTGCTGCCCTGACTTGTGACGCTTTTCCAGTGTTCTTTCAATCAACGTCAATCTGAAGTTTACATGGCTGATCATGTGCTCAGGATTGTCGTTCTTAAACAGGATGTAGCAGTTAAACACTATAATGTTTAGAAGGTGGCAAAAGAATTTTTTAGACCAAAACTGGTGCCTTAGTGCTCACGTGGATAAGAAGTGAGCATCTAATCAGCCGAGTCCACTGCTCCCATATTCTCATTATATATAAATCCACAATAGCACATGGCTTCTTAGTGTTCTTTCCATTTCTGTTGTCTACTTCAATCACAGTATCATTGTGGAATGTTGAAAACATTATCACCTCCTTCTTGTCACACCATTTTAGTGCCATTATGTTCACCACGGAATCTGGCTATAGGCATCCCCTTTGCAATCTTTTTTTTTTTTTTCAGATCGTTTGGCATCTGTTCTCTGTTCAAATGAGCTGTCTCAACTGCATCAGTCTTGTTTTAATGTAATTCTCTGAAAAGCTTGGGAAATGTATGGCAAACTTTAGTGGTAAGGTTAGGACTGTAATCCGCTGGTTATCTCGGGGTAAACTCTGCCACCACAAATGCCACCAGTGAGTATTCTCTGGGTAAAAGGGAAATGGATTAAAGACAGGAACCAAATTGTTCTTATATTTGGTTTCCATGTCCTGGAACATTGGCTATCCAGTGCCCTGATTCAAGAAGATGAGTGAAAAGCTCAATAATTCAAAGTTTGGTAAATTGGCCTACACTGATGTGGTCGAATCTATATTTTCCAGGCAACTTTTCTGAAATAAAAGATGATTTATTTTTCAAAATATCTAATAACGTGACTGGCACACACACTTAAAAATGATATCTATTAATTTTTGATTTCTTAGGTAAACCATAACTGGGTGAATAATAAAAGTACTGAACAAGAAGAATATGCGAGCTATTAAGCTAAATTTCCTTCTGCAAATTAAAAAATTAGCACTTTAGTTTATCAATCAGTTCCTCGTGTACTTGGTTTTTCTGAATCATTTCAGTAACAGATCACTCTTGCCAGATCTATTCCTATTTTTCTATACACATGAAGAAAAAATTAAATATGAAAATAAACGGAGTTATACAGAAGCCCTAGAAAATAAAACAAGGTGACATCATTTGCATAACAGGAAGGGACCATATAAATAGATAATCCAAACAGGCTTATTTTGTAAAACAAAAAAATGAAACCTTCCTCTCAGTAGCATGATCCTCAAAAGTTCTAACTTTTACATTCAGTGATGTATTTTAGCAAATATATCTTATAAATTCTGACATTTAATTATATTAGTTTTAACATATGAGGCACCGAAGTATGTTTCAGGAAAAATAAAATAACTGATGTTAAATTATTAATTGTTCATCAGGTCCTTTCCTTTGTTATTTAGCTTATTATTTTTTTACTAAACTAATAATGTGAGACTGTATCTGGTGACAGTGAGTTTTCTTTCTTTTCAACATAGTGAACTCTTGCATAATTATGATATTTTTAAATGGTTAAATCTTTTGCTACTTATTTTAATTCAAATCCAGTGTATTATGTATATTCAGAACTCAAACTATTCATCTTCATCTAAACCTTCAATTAAATTCCACAATGCAAACCTCTTGGCACTAGAGGCACTTGTTTCATGTTTATTCAACTGAGCCTGTGTCTTGAAAAAGTGTTGATGTTTGGGGGTTTTCTGGTGAGAGTCCACATTCTGACATCACCTTGACTATGACAGTGATTGGCTGTTGGAAGGCAAAGAAGAGTTTATAGCCAGCAAAAGCAAGTGAATGAGTGGGTGAGAAAGCAGAGGAAAAATTCAATCTGTGTCACTCACTCCTGTGAGCCTGCCTCTTTCCTCATTTCAGGACTGCAAAAGGGTAAGATTTAATATGACAAATAAATTATCTTAAACTCAAACACTCCATGTTTTACAGCTCTGGATTTGGCTTTAAATTTTTTATTTAACTGTTGTTATGATTGCACTATAAAATGGCTATATAATTTAACACTTGTTTACCATTAAACTAGTACCTCAGATTTTAGATTCTTTCCAAAAGGCTGTTTATTAACCTATGCATGTAAGTAAGTTCTTAATATGCACATAAATTAATGCACATAAATTAGAAACTTATACTTCCTACTTTCTATCCTGCACCTCACAGATAACTCTTTGTTTTCTCATTCCGATGCATTCAAGATAACCTAACTGGAATACTATTTTGCATTTGCAATCTGCCTCCGTGTATGTAGATTTCTCCATGAATTATGCCTAATCTATATTTCAATTACATACAATATCTTTTCAAAACATTATAAATTCAGCTTCAAACTATTAATATCTTACAGCTATAAAATCAGTATGGAAAAATATGTAGTACTAGAGAAACAAATAATTTTGGTAGATTATTGTACTTTCTCAGTAAAATCTTGTAATTAGATTTTCAAAACTATCCTTTAAGAATGTTGACATTGTTGTCTGAGTTATTAGTGGTCACTAAAGAGATCTTTGCTTTTGCTGAATCACAAAGTAAATAAAATAAGATTTATGTAGGTAGCCAATTAATTGCTTCCTACATGAATCACTTGGTTCTTTTTATATTATCTGTGTTATGTTTTTATCTAGCTGTTTTATAGTTTGTTATGAGAAATTTATGTAATCAAAACTCTTTCTACAGTTCCATCTGTTTAATTTTTTAAGCTCTTTAATATACTATAAATACTCCAACTCTTTTCTTGAAGCTGCGGAGCAACAATCTTCCTGTTTGCGGGTGGGCTCAATCTTGGGTGGCAAAGTTCAAAGTATTTTTCAGAGCACCCAAGAGTAAAAAAAACTTCTTAAACAGATGAGTCCCCTTCCGGGCAAAGTCTCTTTATCCTGCTATGGCCATCAAGAAATTTCGCTAAAGTAGAGAGGACTGTGAGGAAGTGTGTAGGCATCAAAATCAAAAGACCCACTCTGCCCAAATAGAATGTGACTTAAGACCCAAGGCAACTTCTTTAGGCCTCAAGCTTTACCTTGTGTGGTGTATATTTTAGTGTCAGATACTCAATAAGGATGAAATAAATCTTGGCTAATGATGACAAAATGCAACATAAACCTTCAGAGTACCGTATATGACCTGAGTTTCATACATTTTAAACATTACTTTTTCAAGTGTGTTTATGGGGATAGTGCCATCACCATTACATACTTCTAAATTATTGCCTAAGATGTCACTCTGTATGAGAAGGCACTATCAGTTAAATGTGTATGTGTCATTGCAAATAGGCTGGTGTTAGTAGGCTGTCAACTAAGTTATCCAAACTCTATTAAATTGGATTTTATTAAATACAGTAAAATTAGGATAGGGCTGTACTCTCTCTCTCTCTTTTTACTTATGAGAAATCTATGTGGAACTGAAATCTTTACATGGTTGCAAACCCCAAGACTGTTCTGGAACCATTCCCACTTTGAGAATTGCGTCTTTAATTCTTCCCTGACCCTGGAGATCCCCTGATCCATCCCATGACAGTGATGGAAACCTTAAATGGAGCTGGGGAAAAACCTAATTTGAGGAGAATTTCCCCTGATAAACTCTTCTCATGGAATCATCCTCAGACATGGCTGTTCAGTACAACATGCTGAGAGAATAGTATTCCACATGTTATGGATCACTTCGTGTACATATAAAAAAAAAAATACCAAGTATTTTAAGATGTTCATAGAAAAATGGCTCCTAGCCTCCATTTTACAAATGACCTTTAGTTCAAAAGCTATATAGAAGCTAGAAATGCCTGTAGGACCATTGACATAAAAAGCAGTCATTTAAATGTATTCAATTTTGCTTAGTTTGTTAAGCAAATCAAACAGGTCACATAACTACACTAACAATTCAATTCACTTAGCTGATATTCCTATGTCAATGACACTAAAGAGGCCTCTGAGGCTCAGTGTAAAGTATGCTAAGACTTCAAGCCCTTTGCAGTGATGAAATGGTCTTCCAGTGACAGATCACAGCAGATAGGTTAAGACCAAATATGGAATTCATGATTATTTAAACAGGTGGGTTAAGTCAGTCTTCTGTTATTTAAAAGGAACAATTTTAAAACGAAAGCAGAAATTCGGTCTTTATTAGTTTAAACTATGATTGGACAGAAATAAAAACAAATGAAATACTTCATCTAATATGAACAAAATGTTACACTCTTAGTTTTAATATTTATTAACTTTACCATTTCATTAATTCCAGAAGCAATCACCAAAATGAAGACTGCTTTAATTTTGCTCAGTATTCTGGGAATGGCCTGTGCTTTCTCAGTAAGTTCTTCATTAAAAACCTATAGTTATTTCCATTTTTGTCTTTTTATGTGAGAAAATATGTAATAACTCGATGTTCTTTTAAACAGATGAAAAATTTTCACCGAAGAGCCAAATTAGAGGATTCTGAAGAAAATGGGGTAATTAATTTTAGCATACTTCTTTTCCCCGACTACACTTACTCTAGATTAATTGTATATTAAACATGAATATACCATTTATTTTGTTTATGCAGGTCTTTAAGTACAGACCACGGTACTATCTTTACAAGCATGCCTACTTTTATCCTCCTCTAAAACGATTTCCGGTTCAAGTAAGTATAAAAATTAATTTTCCTCCTCACCCATTACAATTCAAAGGGAATCATGTTTAATTACAAAACACCAAAATTATTGAAAATCAGCCAGAAAGACCACTTACTACAAAAAGTTTGTTTTTAATATATTAAAGCAAAATTTGTTCCTAAATTCTCTTTTAAAGCAGAAATATATATACAGAGTAAGATCATTTGGGCCCATTCTAAAATGATATAATAAAAACAAATACCCTGGTACATTCAATTCAGCTATTTTTGCTAACTCACTGACAAAAGTGGACAATTTTATCAGTTGCTGACAATTAAGTCAATGATAAGGCCACTAATTATCATGTTATTGTTGATTCGGTACTGTCATACAATTGTTTTACTTTCAATAATTTAGAGTCCTTTATTTGGTAGGGAAAAAAATTACTCTATAAACAGTAGAGGTCATTTAAAAAAATTCTTAATAATCAGTGGTGATTGCTGAAAATTTTCTGAAACTTTGACCTGTGTAGGTCACTAGACTAATGAATATGTCATATGTTGAAACATAATTATAACGGAAGTGTGATTCAAGAACTGCAGAGGAGAGAAAGAAGTTTGTGAAGTAAACTAAAATGCTTGCATGAAAAACAAAACATTCTTACAATTTGAAAACAAAAAGGAAAATAACTAAGCACTAAAAATAAGAGTTTCTGTTTTTATTGGGTTACCTGTGAAGAGGGCTTTTGAAAGCTGGAAGGAGTAGTGTTGATTTTAAATACACAGCAAACCAGAATTGCACTATTTTTATTCCTATACAGTTTAGGTTCAGGGTACCAATTATGCACTATTTGACCCAAGACTCATGAAACAGTCAAGATGCTGAAAAAGATGTCTCAGCACAGTGGCTTGGCATAACATCCTACCATATGTTGGGCTAACCCATCTCTAACTCATACAATGATAGGAAATGATAATTTTAAAGTATTTCTAGCACCACAATAATTATGGGGAATGTGTGTGGCCACAGAAATATGAGCACAAATGATACATGAGTTGTGAGTTCTCAGAATTGTCTTCCATTCTCTGGTTTACCTCAGGCCCATAAATAAACATTGCTCATTTGAAATTTTGCTTTGTTTTCTTTCTTAAATAAAATGCAAATGGTAATAAATTTATGTTTCTGACTAGCTCCTCGACTTTTCTAAAATATCAAGTACTTAGAGATATTCCCACCTAGAAATTCTTATGGATAAATATGTGTGGTCCAATTAAAATATTCATAATGAGAAGATATTAGGAGGTTTTATTTTTCATTATTAATAGACTCAAAGCTCATAGATCTTTAATATACAAAATTTCCACAAATTATATATAAACAGGTACACCTTAACTAATGTAGAATTGAAAGATAGTTGTTTTTAAAAAGAACCTAATAAAATATATCTCCCAATATAACAATCTGAGTTAGTATTCATGATGTATTCTATTTTGCAAAGTTTGATTTCCAGGATTTTTTCCCTTACATGTCTATTTATATATTTCTTATAGCTCTTTTTTATTTATTCTCTTAAGTCAGCTAAATATTTAATGCCCAGATTGTTACCCCAAAATGGATTAAGCTGTATTGGCTTCGAAATTCATGCTTTATTCAAACAAAGCTGTGTTTATATATATAGATAGATATACATATCTATCTATATATATATGCACACACACACAGACACCCACATATGTATATATATCTATAATAACTTCTAAAATACCAACTTGCATGAAACACGTTATATTATTTACAATGCTATAGAAATGGAAGTATAGATAAACTTAATACTCTAAGCATTTTTAATTGAGGAAATTGATTTTTAATGCTTCAAATAATATTTGACTAGTGTGTCGACTCTTAGGGGACAGGAATTTTATCTTATATTTCTTTTATTGAACTCATCTCAGCTATCACCATGCTTGATACAAGGAAACTGTCCACATTTCTAACCTCATCTCTTGCTATGACCCTCATTCTCAGTACAATGCCTAGAATGGATACTTGAGATTCAATAAATGGAATGATAGAAGTTAGAAGAAATAATGATTTAAAAATTATATTTATGAAAGACATCTGGAATATCAATTGGGTTTAGTGACAAAATGGTAATAAGACATAAATGAAGGAAAGGAAAATAAGAAAATGCCAAGGCTTCAAGGTATTTCATGCAGTTTAAAAATTGCTCTCATTGCAAATATTAATTGAAGAGTTGTGTGGTTGGGGGTAGGAAGAAGGCTAGACATAAGAAAGCTTGAAAAATGATTAAACACTCTCACACTCCCACTCAGACAAAATATGCTGCATGCATATGCTGTCCTTGCTATATCACTTAATTAACAAAAATAGTTTAGATATAATATTATTCTTTATTCACCCTCTGGACTATGGAAGGCACAATCTTTAAGGTCATGGCAGTGCAAGAGCTGGTTTAACTATTCTCTTTTCCACTTGAGATTATTCTTGAGTCAAGGGGACAAGCATTCCTTTTCCTTGGGTGGATGGTGTGGTCACCTGAAGAATGAGACCAACAGGATGGCCCTGTGATTGTTTCCTCACATCTGATCTCTAACTCCAAAGTTATTCTGCAGCTATCTTTTCTAAGACCCATGGAACTTAACTGAGTCATCAGAATCAAAGCTAAAATTTGCAAGGTAGAAAATGACAGAATCTTAAGTTGGGTATCCATGTGTATACCTGTTACCATTAGGAGCAGTTGCAGAAAAAGCAGGAAAATTCTATTTGCATTATCACTGGGAAAGAAGATGAAGAATCTCTTCAATTGTCTTAAAGGCTCTGAAAACAGATGTTTAGATTTACATTTTCTTTTAAAAAGTAGCAAAGCTCATTAGCTTTATAATTGTGTTTTTAAAATACACTTCTTGGTTTAATTTATTTTCACTTAATATTGAGCTCTTTAGAAGGTACCCTAAAATCTCTTTATTGAGTAAATGAATTGATTTTCATCATATAACTTCTAATACACATATTAACATTTTAGAGGTTAGCTTTAATTACATTGAAATATATTAAAATTACATGCAAATTTAATTTCAAGTAAAATTCTAATTTAAATTCACCAAGAAAGCTCATTGAGAATTAACCAGTAACAACTTATATTTTATAATAAGCCCAATCATTATTTCATTCATATTTTATAAATAAAATAAAACAATGTGATCTATGTTTTAGTCCAAGATTTGTCTTGACCTGATTGGAGAAGTCACAACCATTCTGGCTTCAGATTCCTTCTCTGTAAAATAAAGAAATTGGACCAGATAATCCCTTTGTTCTCTAAGAGTTAAACAGTTCTGTGACGCATTGCTCTAGTTTTTGCATACAAAATGCCAAAGCTTTTGGAATTGAAAATGGAGTATCTCATACATATCTTGAACATTGTGAAATGGCTTCTTCTCTCTAACATCATTTTATATATGTCTAATTTCTTCATATCTTTTCCACATTAGTATTAGAACTGTTCTAAAGTAAATAAATACAAATCTAATTACATATTCATATGTGCATGAATTCATGTGTATATTTTTTTAGAGCAGTGACTCTTCTGAAGAAAATGAAGATGGTGATAGCTCAGATGAGGAAGAAGAAGAAGAGGTAAGGAGTTTCTGCAGGATTTTTCATAACAAACCAGGCAGCACAAAAACAAATAGGAAATTAGTCTACTGTAGTCAGAACTCAGCAAACAGACATTGCCAGCTTACCAACTGCCCAGAGTCTTCTATTTTGGACAAGTGAAATGTTATTTAAATTAGAATAAACTAAAATGACCTGTTCAAAACACTACTGCAGTTTGGGGTTAAAATTATCTGTAAGTGGTACACAAAACCAAAAGTAGTCTTTGTTTTAAGTGGAAGAAGTATAAATTCTGATAAAAAGGAAAAGTATTGTTTATATTTAGGTGGATAGAATATGATAGTAAAAAAACAAGTATATAATAGTTCTGAACTCACTATAATGCTTGTTTTAGGGACTGAACTTAAAAAAAACTTAATTTACTAAGTGTAGTATATGATAGTTAATCTTACATCCTCTACACTGTTATTGTGATTCATCTGCCTTTCTTGACCCACAAAGTAGGGTTGTTATTTTTAAGAGGAATTTCATGAGTTTTTATTTAATAATGAAATTCATGTTCTTACAAAAATGTAAGTGCTCAAGATGTAAAAATATCTTCTAATATAGTACTACAAATTAGTGTAATTTCTGGCTAAGATTCATCTATATATCTTGGAAATTGTGCCAACATGTTTATAACTAACACTCTTGCCCAAGGAAACATACTAATTAGGTACATTTTCCTGGATTGTCAATTATAGCAATCCACTGGTTTGGGAAGCTTCTAAATTCAGGTATTCATAGCTGCTATTTATAAGTGGACAATGACAGTCGAAAATGGATCATGGATAAATGTCTGCTATCTTGAAAACAAAATGGCATGAGAACTTTAAAAGTGATGAATATTTAGTTTAATTTTTTTAACCATAAAATTAACATTTCTAGTACCATAATTTACTAGAATCTCATTAATAGCTTAAAGGAAGGCCCTAATAAGAATGTCAAGCCAGTACCAGAAAATCCCACAAAATTTTGCCTGTGGTAATCTTACACAAGAATTAAGCTAGGGTAATCCATTTAACTACATTTGTTTGCTGTATAGTGATTGTAAACTTGCCTTGCCCAGCTAGATTTTCCAATTAGATTGTGTACATTTTGGCAGTGGTTTTTCATTTGTTGTGATGGTAGTTGGGGATTGGGGAAGATTAGGACTCCTTTAAGACTCTTAAGAAATTGCACACACTCAAAATTTTGCCAGCAATCTGAATATTTATGGTACTTTCAGAAATTATCTGCAATTCAAGTTAAATACAGAGTCCCCAGGAATTGTATGCACATGAGAAAGTGCCTAGGCATATTTTCTACTAGGTGATCATACATTTCACTCTACTGCTGAACTACTAGCCTTAATAAACATTAAACCTTTATTGAAATATAATGTACATACCACAATTATCATAAGTATACAGGTCATTGAAATTTCAGAAATGTAACACGTAAATGTAACCAGCACCCATATCTAAAAGCAACACATGCTTTGGGCTTCATTCCATTCATTAACCAAGCCCCACCAAGGGCAGCTGCTATTTTGACTCCTAACAGATAGATTACTTTTGCCTATTTTTATTATATATATGGAATCATACAGCATATACTCTTTTGAGTGTGGCCTGTTCCACTCTCAACTTCAGAGGTTGATCCATACTGTTCTGTCATTGTAAACTGTTCATCTTCATTGTCAATATTTGTTACATGGATATACCACAATGTATTATTCTCCTGTTGATGGGCATTTAGGTAGTTTCCAAGTTTGGGTTATAACAAAGAGTGATACTATAAACATTCTAATACTCTTTCTGGTGAATATATGCATTCATTTCTGGAGGCTAATTTATCTAGAAGTGAAATTTCTAAGTCAAAAGGCTATGTGTATGTTCAATCTGAGTAGATGCAACCAAACAGCTTTCAAAGCAGACATACCAATGTAAACTCCCATTGTCAGTATGTAAGGGTTCCAGTTGTTCCTCATTCTCACCAACACTTTTTTTTTTTCAGTTATTTTAGCCATTCTAGTGAGTTAGTAATACTTTTTCCCTTTTTAACTCATTGCAACAGGATATCCTTAAATAAAGTGTCTAGGAAAAGAAAGGGTGTTACAGGAGAAAACATAGATGTCTATAAATTGGGAGTCTTGGGCCTATAGCCATGACCTTGTCACTAATAAACTGCTATCTATTTGACCTCACACCACTTATTCCATTGAACCTCAGAATTTTCACCTATGAAATGAGGGTACAGGACCCAACATGTATATTCTCCTATTCTAAGGATCTTTACTCCTCAACTCCTAAAAGATTTAGTCTGTTGGGCTAAAGCATAAACTTGAAAAAAAAAATAGTATGGTATTTATGGAAATTGACACAATTAGCTTGCAGACTATTTTGGAATGGACTCTAGTAGTCCCAAGAGTTCACTGACACTGGAATTTACAAATTTGATGAGGCAAACATATTCTTTTTAGTCACTTGTTTAATAATAAGGCAGGCTAAATCTAGGTTTTGTTTGTTTTTTTTCAAGTCTTAAAATATAGGATGCCTAGTTAAAGTTATCCAATTATCATAATATCTTTTAAAATACATTAAAATTAATTTGATTTTCTAAGACTCACTTAAACAAATTCTACTTGCATGAATTCCTGACTTTTAATATTAGTTATAAATTACATTGTGAGATTAACTCAATTAACAAACAATTGGAGTAATTGACAATATGGAGTAAAGGAAAAAGACTAAAGTGTTAAAGATTATAATAAGCATTCATTTGAGGACTGGTAATTTTTTTAAAAAAATATTCATGCAATAACCTAATATATTATAAAGGATTTCTTGGAGTGTTTACTTCCTTCATTGCACAGAAAATTGATTGTGTGTCAAATGTCTAACATTTTTTGAATGCTGCATATGGTACAGAACTGGCTTACATATTGACAGATGGGTTTTGAATTAAATATATCATTTTTGTTGTTTAATAAATCTGAAAGCAAATGAGATATATTCACTTTTGGGAAGAGGTGGATAGCAATTAAGATATGCTATCAATTTGTTTGGAGTTAGTTTCTATAAAAAAAATTTCCTATTAAAAAAATATTTTAGGCATACTGTGGAAAATTCATAGAAATTCTAATCATCATCAACAACACATGGTCCATTAAAAAGAGTCCAGCTTTTTTGAGGTAGAAAGATTTAGCTTCATCACTTACCATGAGACTTTAAACAAGTTATTCAGCTTTCTGAGCTCTTTTTACTTTTCTAAAGAGTAAGAGCAGCAGTCTTATCTTATAGGGCTGCTATAAAGAATATAAAGATAGGTATAAAGTTCTCAGCTTATTTGTCAGCAAATATGAGGATTAATTTACTACCATGTTATAGTAGTTATTGATAATTTTAATTTTAATTATTTAAATTAAATTAAATTATTTTAATTAATTAATAAGATTTTAATTGAAAGACTTTAAGAGCCTAAGTTCTGTATAATGTGATACCAGATATGAAGATATGTAGAAATTATTACACAAATATTTTGAATTGATTAAATAAAATGTAGAAATATCTAAAACATAACTCAACTTTGAGTTGAGTTCTTAGAAGTGAGAAGTACAAATGGCATAAGAGGAGAAAGAATTGTCAACATTGGGTGATGAGTTGACTGAGAAATATAAATTTTTTTTTCCAACAATGGTTCATAATACTAGCGAATCTTGAGTTATCTTCTGGCTAAAATAACTTTTCTTGCTCTGGGTGTTTGTACCAGGAGACTTCAAATGAAGAAGCTAACAATGAAGAGTCTGATGAAAATGAAGACGAAGAATCGGAGGCCGAGAACTCTACCCTTTCTGCTACCACACCCGGCTATGGAGAGGAGACCACGCCCGAAGCAGGAAATATAGGTCTAGCCGCCATCCAGCTTCCCAAGAAGGTAATAATTCCTCCAAAATGTTACATCTAATTTCATTTCTTAACTGAAGTCTAAGGTTATTTTGACACTGTATCCAGAGTATTTTATATTATCTTCTTTAACTCATTGAGAAAGCAAGAACAGACAAAATTTTCCCGTTAACAAATAAGGAAAGATCTTTTCCCAGGTAAGTTCTCTTCCCATGTTATTACACTGACTTTCCACATTATACCAGAAGACAAAGGATAAGTATCTTAGCAATGAATGAAGGTCTTGAGAGATGCCTCTTTCAGAGAAAGGGATCAAGACAGAGAAAGTGAGTAATAAAGCTATAGAAAGCATCTCCCACACAGAAGTCTTATTTATCAAGTACATTTTTTTCCATCAAAATCCAATGACAAAGGTACTAATTTGGAATTTTTAAAGCCCCCCCTCTCAATTCTTTTGTAAGTTAAATGGACTTCAATTCAGAATTACATCTAGAATAAGGCTGTCAGTACAGTCTATGTTGATGACATTATGGCCGTAAGTTTTACATTTTCATGCCTGGATGTGGAGTCTTTCAAATTTTTTTCTTACAGACAGGAGATACAGGAAAGAAAGCTACCAAAAAGGAGGAAAGTGATGAAGAAGAAGAAGAAGAAGAAGAAGAAGAGGAAGAAGAAGAAAATGAAAATGAAGAAAATGAAGCAGAAGTGGATGAAAATGGGCAAGGGGTAAATGGCACCAGCACCAACAGCACAGAGGTAGAAAATGGCAATGGCAGCAGTGGTGGAGACAATGAAGAAGAAAGAGAAGAAGAAAGTGTCCCTGATGCCAATGCAGAAGGAAACACAGTGGCTGGAGAGCAGGACAATGGCAGGCTTGAACCTACGACTCCACCACAGGAGGTCTATGGGGCCACTACCCCAACACTGGAGAAAACCACCACCACTGAATATGAGGGGGAGTATGAACAAACAGGCACCAATGAATATGATAATGGATATGAAGTCTATGAAAATGAGAATGGGGAACCTCGAGGGGACAATTTCCGAGCCTATGAGGATGAGTATAGCTACTATAAAGGGCATAGCTATGATGGCTATGATGGTCAAAATTACTACTACCACCAGTGAAAGCCCAGCCTGGGATGAAGTCATCCATTCTGGTGTTTCATGTGGCTACAGTTTTCAAAGTTCAACTCAGGAAGGTGCAATATAACACATGTGCATATTATAATGTGGAATGGTGCTGCTGTTCCTAAGTGATTTTCTGTAATTGCTTCCGCAAGTATTGGGCTTCATGTTTGCTTTTCCCTGGTATATTATTCAAAGGTAATCATAAATCAGAGCCATTTATCAAGTGGTAAACCAATCCATAAGATCAAGTTTGATCGAATGTTTTAGGTTGTAATTCTCTAAATAGTATTTTTAATCTGTTTGCTCTATTACTAACTGCCAAAACATACTCTTTGTGCAAGAATTGTTTCTAAGAAGAGATTCATTGACATTAATGCCACTGTATACAATAAATGTGTTTGTAATTCTTTAATCATACTACCTATTCAACACTGTATAGTTTAATTATTATTCTCATGTATTTTTATGTAACCTGTATGTATGTTCTATCAATAGATTTTATCACAAATAAAAATGCAATTGTTCAAATGTGTTATTTGAAGAAAAATGAGAGATTCAGAATAGAAAAATGTGAGACAAGTAGGGGGACAATTCGGCTAAAGGATAAAAACTTATTTCCACTATGGTTTAAAACTCAGAAGAACTACAAACATGTTCTTGTGGATAAATCAACATAACTACGATTTTGACATACATGTGGACAGGGTCAGCCATATACATCAGGGAAATAAATGGCTTTTATGAGCGTTGCCAGATTTAATAAATAAAAATACAAGATATCTAGCTAAATTCAAATTTCAGATAAACAATAAATAATTTTTTAGTATAAGTATGCTCCATGCAATATTTGGCCTTTGTGAAATATTTGGGACATACTTATACTACATAAATAATTCATTGTTTATCTGAAATTCAAATTTAATTGAAAGTTCTATGTTATATCTGGCAACCCTACTTCTACTTAATTTGGTTTTAGGTGGGTTAAGGATTGGGATAGAATGAAAACTCTTATACACACACATATACAAAGGGCTAATATGCAAACTCTTAACTGCAATTTATGATTTAACATAACCTTAAAGAAAGTTTGAAATGGGAGTAATGAAGGAAAGTAGATAGAAGAAGCAAGAAGACAAAAATTTATTCATCTTTTTATTTATTCATTTATAAGATGTATTGAGTATTTACTATGGAACCGGACAACATTTAGACACTGGGCATATGAAAATGAAGAACTCTATCCTCGGAGTGATTTTTGGCCGATCGCTAACATTTGTAAGGTGTTACGTGCATAACTCATTGTCTCCTCACTTTTTATTTTGAAAAATACCAAGGCTTCAGAAAAATTGGAAGACTAGTACATGAGTACCCTTATTGACCTTTCACCTAGATTTACCAAGGATTAACATTTTGCCATATTTATGTTATCTCTTTCTGTTTCTGTGTGCCTCTCCTCTTAAATGTGTATATACTTTTTTACCAAACCTTAGAGACGTTCTGAGATCATTATGCTCCATCTCTAAATACTTTAGCATTTAGTATAAGAGCAAGGAATTCTCCTAAATAGCCACAATATTGTTATTCTTATTCTCAAGAAATTTGACATAGATATGATATTTTCTAATATACAAATATATAGTCCATATTCAAATTTTCCCAATTGTTCCAATAATGTTCTTTATTGCTAATGCATTTAATCCTTGCAAAACTCTATCAGGTACAAAGAGGTTATCTGTGAAGTTCATTTATTTATTAATGTCCTGAAGTTTATATAGCAAAATTGGTTAATCTTTTCCTTTATGGTTCTTTCTTTTGCTTTTGACTAATATAACATGAGTGGCTGCTCCTTGTTATTTTACCTCAGGGATTTAAGCTAGCTCACTTCCATCTTTGAGAGCCAAATGGTGACTCTTCTCCACCATTGCTCCAAGCATCTAGGAGTCTCCTTTAGACTAGTGGGGTTTGCTAAGAGAACTGTGGCAAGGCATTTCTTAGAGTAGGTCATGGCAGCAGAAGAAGGAGTCATGGCCTAGTCCAGACACCAGCATGAGTGGGTAGTCAGATGGTAAGGCCTATAGACAACCAGCTACCCAGGGCCCAGATGGAAACAACATGAAGTTCTTAGATGAAGACAAAGAGGTGGACTGGTGAGGACTGTGATTTAACCCAGGTCCTGGGCACTCCCAAGATACCCCTTTAGAGTAGTGCTCTCGGCCATATCATGCAAAAATCTCTGCATGGAAGCCTTCTTCTTTTAATATTTTTCCTACTTTGAATCACATGTTAGAGTTCCAGCCTCTTTCTGCCATCCTAGCTAGCTAGCCCTACTGACTTCTTGCTCCAAATTCTCTTTGATTTTTTCCCACCGAAGCTCTATTTTCTGTATTCTCTCACAGTATCTATTGATGCCCCATCAGGAAGAAACTTGATGAGGATCCAAATTATTAGGAAAGAAAGATGAACAGTTTCATTCTTCCCTGAGAAGATATAATCTTTCATCTGTGAATGAATCAAATGACTCTTTTGAGTGGATAAAAGATAAAAAATAAAATAAGCCCAGCTCATATTTGGGGGAAAATGATGTTGGTTATTTATATCTTCTTACCCATAGAAAATTCTTTCATGCCATTGTTTGCATGTAAAAAGCAGTTTGTAGCTGTGGAAGGACTCCTACATGTCGTTAATATGTCTTTCCTTTCTCTCTGAGTAATAGAATCCTGGTTTACTGGCTGGGTCTGTGGCTACAGAATAAATTTGCATTTCTTCCACTTCTCCTGGAGCTAGATGTGGCCATTTGATTTAAGCTCTGGCTAGGTGGACATGTGATGTGTACAATTTCTTGGTTATTTCCTTACAAAAACGTATTATTCACTTTCCCTTTCTCCAACTTCTCTCTCTTAATAGCTGGAATTCAACCGTGGTCGTATGCCATCTGTGACAGTGTGCATGACTGTCTATGACAACAGTCTATGGGTGGCAAGCTGAAAAGATAGAAAAAGTCTGTCTCTGAGGAGCACCACACCAGCTGTGGACACTGAAGCTCTAGGAATAAACTTCCATTTTCTTTAAGCCCTAGGATCATTCATCTCTGTTATTAACAGGCAAATGAATCCTAACTCAGTGATTCTCAAGATGTAGTTATCAGATCAGCAAAAGCAGCATCACTTGAGAACTTGTTAGAAATGCGAATTCTAGAGCACAACCCAAGACCTACTGACTCAGAAATTCTGGAGGTGGACAGGTGATTCCAATGTCCTTATATTTTGAGAACCACTGTTTTCATCAATATTATAGACAATGTTTATTATACACCTACTGTGTGCCAGTTCTATTGTAAGCATTTTACATATATTACCTCATTTAATCCTAACAATTATTGAACATTAACTCTGTTTTACAGGTAAAGAAACTGAGTTGCAGAGAGATATAGCAACTCTGAGATGACTGGCTGGTAAGGCAGGGAAGGAGACTGCTCTAGAGTCCACTCCCTGTATGCCTCCCAGAGTTTCTTTCTTTATACAGAAAAATCACCCTGTGGAGATACAGGAAGTTAACTCAGACCTAGGAGAGGAAATTTTGGATAGGAGAACATATAACACCCCTTGTGATGTTTACTCTTGTCTTTTAGGGTTAATAAGAAGATGGAATGTTACAGGTTTTGCGCCATGCTTGGGTGATCAAATAAGGATTTCTTTGAGAATGGAGACTGCTAGTAAACAAGGGAAATGTCCTTTCATGTTGTTGTCAAAATAGAGTAACACCTTGCCCTCATCAAGCAGTCAAGCATTCTCTATATGAGAGTGTGATTTATAACAGGGCCATGAAGATTGAAGATCGATGGCAGTTGTTAGGGTTACACACCACACACAATTCCATTGATTCAGCCAGTAGAGAGACAATGAGCTCAAATGAAGTCAAATAGTTTTTAACTCAGAGAGAGAAAGTGGGATCAAGTTGATGTCAGCTCCCTGTAGCCCTGGTCCCACAGATGACACTGAAGTGGAAGGGCCAGATGACAGATAGCACAAGTGGGCAGGTCATTCCGACGTTGAGGAACAAGTTCTCATCTATAGCCAAGTGGATAGACTTACACAGAAGTCTGTGGTTGAAACCCTAAGGAAGGTCAAGGCTGAAAGTTTCATGTTCAATGGAAACTAAGAAGATAGATGAGAAATGGCCCTGTGACTATGCCCCATAAGATAGAGAGGTGGGTGAGAAACTGCCTATAGCCTCTCTTTACTAGGCTGCTTATCCCTCCATGCTCCAGGTGGAGCCACAGGGCACTTTACCAAGAGTGGGGCCAGACTGCAGTCAATCCTTGCCCAAGTGTCTATATGGAGACAGGTAAGGTTAACAGGAAATGCAGCAGAGCTCCTCCTCTACACACCTTTTCCAGACACCAAGGTTTGGGAAGTTTATGAGTGTCCTGGGCCATTCTAAAGAGGCTGGCCACACAGGGGAGTTAGGATGAGCTAAGAAAGGTCTTAGAGCACTAAGAAGATTACTTCCGTGGGATGATCTATGGCAGGCATGTGGACCCTCACCAGGCAATGGTGTGTTGAAAGGCTTCCCAGTATAGGCCACACTGCGGGGTGGTCTGTGTGGCCACAGGACAGCTGCTTCTCAGAGATGACTCTGTCCTCCCTGTGGTCACCCTAAGCCCCATCCCCTCAATCAAGTCTCTCTTATCCCCTTTAATATGATGCTTCAATCAATATTCTCTCCAGCTGGAAGCCCAAGGGTGGGAGGAGCATACTTAACCTATGGAGAGCACTGAATATCACCTTCTTTTCAATTTATTATTGTGACGTAAACTCAATATTCTGCTTCTTTCAAGGTTAATCCTGCTGATATCCTACCACCCTTTCTTCTCCTAACAAAATCTTCACCTTGCGAAACTAAAGCTTTGGCTTTCAGACTAATCGGTTCCATTGAGAGCCTCAAGGACCGATTTCAGAACTGAAAAACCAAATGTTCACTTTTATTAAAAAAAGCCA